ACAGATAAAAGGGAGAGGGAAAGGCTTTCAGGTACAAGATTTGGCACAGAAGAGTGGAGAGGAAGAGGGATGAGCAGGAAGAACAAAAAGAATAAGACTTACAATAACCAAGATTATGCATATTTATTGAATGGTTAAATCAAAGATGTACTAAGCACATTGATCATAAAAAAATCTCTAGTTCTTTATGGTTTATGTTCAGCTGACATCACCTGAGATGAATGGTCTGACTAGGGGAGGAAAATATCTATCTGAAGCAAAATAATATCCCCAAGCACAATATTCATGAGAAGGAATACTTCTCTGATAGACCAATTTCAATTAAGAGAATTAGTTCAGAAAACATCTCCCATTATTTATCTAAGCTGCTGAAAGTGATTTAAGTTTATAACGATCTTGGATGAGTACTAAAATAATGCTATGGCAAAAACTCAAGCCAATGGCTTTAACAGAAAATAAATGAGACAGATACTCTCTTTCACTAGTGATATAAACATTTAATTACATGTTTTTAAAAACTTTAAGTTCCAGTGACAATATGGCACTAGAAATGATCAGAATCCTGTTAAGATGTGGATAAGCAGAAAGTATGACACAAAGTCACAGTGATCGGTACTTATTTATTTACTTTAAAAGGGACAGGGTCTCACTATGAAACCCAGGTTGGAGTGCAGTAGCTATTCACAGGTATGATACCATTACAGATCAACGTGGGAGTTTTAACTAGCTCTGTTTCCGACCTGGGCTGGTTCACCCTTCCTTAGGCTCCCAGGACATCACCACCACATTGATGCTGAACTTAGTGTGGATACTCAACTGGCATAGCACTATACTATAGCTGGGAACTCCTGGACTCAAGCAATCCTCTTGCCTCAGCCTCCCAAGTAGCTGGGACTACAGGCATATGCTGTCACCTCCAGCTAATTTTGCTACGGGCTTGCAAAGAGATCAGCTTCTGCTTATAAACTAAAATAATCCTATTGCCAAGATATGTCATCTATATGCCTAGTTTACATAAATCCAGAGTTCTCTAGCCTGCCCAGTCAGTTTCCAAATATGTAACAACTGTAAGGGTGGCACATGATAGCAGTGAAGATATGATAACTTCAGTTTATAACTTAAAAACTCTAAAATGCATCCTGATTTGTAAGGTGTTAAAAAATGAGGGGAGGATGGGAACAGTGGCTCATGCCTGTAATCCCAGCACTCTGGGAGGCTGAGATGGGCAGATTGCCTGAGGTTAGGAGTTTGAGACCAGCCTGGCCAACATGGTGAAACCCTGTCCACTAAAACTACAAAAAAATTACCCGAGTCTGGTGGTGCATGCCTGTAGTCCTAGCTACTTGGGAGGCTGAGTCAGGAGAATTGCTTGAACCTGGGAGGCGGAGGTTGCAGTGAGCTGAGATCGTGCCACTGCACTCCAGCCTGGGCAACAGAGCAAGACTCCATCTCAAAAAAAGAAAAAATAAGAAGAAGAGGGAAACACAGGGTCTTGGAGGAACTGAGAGACCTAAGACAGCAGGTGGAATAGCAAAGCAGAGGAAGTGGGTTGGAAGCAGCCAATGAATCTGAGGTTGGAAAAGTGAGCCGGAAACTCCATTTTTCCTTCTTTTTACTATAATATTTCTGTTACCCCAGACTTTCAGTAAAAACTGGCTATAAGAACAAAAGCTACAGAAATCAAAACCCCATTTAAGAATGAATCACTTTCAAATAGATCAAAGCAGTAATAGTGGCGATATATAACACTGCAGCTGGGATACCAACCAACGATGCCGCAGTTTTCCTCCTTTAGTTTACCAGAAGTATTTCCTCCTTAAATCATTCTCTTCCCCTGGTTTCCATGACATCATTCTCTTGGTGTCCTCTCTCTGCTTACCCAGCTTCTCTTTTCTTTAGAGGGCCTTTGGATTGCCCTTAATGTTAATATTCCATTAGGGACGGCCCCTCAAAGGGTCTTTCCCTAGGCAATCTCACCCATACTTGCAACTTACTGACTTACATTTAACTCTCTAAGAGAGTTTCAGACTTGAATTTTCTTTTCTTGCTTTCTTCTTCTTTTTTTTTAGATGGAGTTTTGCTCTTGTTGCCCAGGCTGGAATGCAACAGCCCAATCTTGACTCACCAAAACCTCCACCTCTCGGGTTCAAGAGATTCTCCTGCCTCAGCCTGCTGAGTAGCTGGGATTACAGGCCCGTGCCATCATGCCTGGCTAATTTTGTATTTTTAGTAGAGACAGGGTTTCTTCATGTTGGTCAGGCTGGTCTTGATCTCCTGATCAGGTGATCCACCCGCCTAGGCCTCTCAAAGTGCTGGGATTACAGGTGTGAGCCACCGCCTCTGGCCTCAGACTTGAATTTGAAAATTCAAGCCACCACACCCGGCCTATTTTTGTATTTTTAGTAGAGATGGGGTTTCACCAGGCCAGGCTGGTCTCAAACTCTTGGTCTCAAGCAATCCACCTGCCTTGGCCTCCCAAAGTACTGGGATTATAGGCATGAGCCACCGCACATGGCCCATTATAAATGATTACTTTTTGGGTAAATGGATTAACCTCTTTGATGTAAAGTCAAAATTAGCAAAACTGATAAGAACACATGACCATCTATGTGCTGTCTATAGAACACTCACTTTAGATCCAAAGACAGAAGGAGATTTTAGTTTTAATCTGAAGTATCACCCACTCTGCACACCTGCTCTTTCCTCTACTCCAGAGTCTTGAATGTGAATATTACAGAAGTTTCCAATCAGACAGTTTTGGGACACAACTGGAAGGGGAGGAGAGGTAAAGGACACCACGGGAGTTCCTACGTTTTAATTCTGTGTCCTTCTACAGGTTCCCTTCACGAAGACCTTAATCTTCAGTCTCGAGCAGGAGGCATTGCAATGTTCTTCTGGGTGATGCCTGCCATGAAATGGAATAACCAGGGCAGGGGCATGGACACTTGGAGCCACAGGATCCCCCTTGTTCTGACAAAAGTCTCCATAGCCAAACCCTGTATTGACTTCTTTGACAGTATGGTCATTATATGCAAAGCCATGCAGATCATGATACAGTCGATACAAATCAAATGCAGATCAGGCAGAGCACCGAGGTCTGCAGGTCTCATCGGTTTTTAAGGGGGCAGAGTACAGTCAACTTACAGTCTTCCTCATAAGGGAGCCAGAGGAAAGAATGGGGAATCTTCAAGAGAAGCCAAGATCCGGCAGGACTGCAAAGAGCTCCCCTTATTCAGAACCCTCGTGGGATGGACGAAGAAAGGCTGAGGCAGTCTTTTCCCACGAGGGACAAGGCCAAGAGGTCCGCCCGCACACCCCTGCGCAGAGTCAGGCACGAACTGGCTCGGCGGGGCCTCCCACCCTTGGAAGGAAGCGCGGACAAGGCTGCTTTCAGGGGCTCCGAGGAAAGGGGGCTGCAGGACCGCACGCCTGAGGCCCACGCTCCCCTTGCCTGGGCCCCCCCCTAAGGAGCCTTAAGCCCTTTTCCCACTTACCTGCGCCGCATATCAGCGGCCATCAGTCTCTTGTGCTGGAGGGTGGACCGGGACTCCGCGCTCGGCGCCGCCATCTCCCGCCTTTCGTGGGCCCTGCGATGTGCACCGCCCACAGCGCAAACACACCGGAGGCAGTCGCTTACCCCACATCCCTCCCCTAGCCGCGGACACACACTGCGCCTGCGCCTGCGCCCTGCCGCGCGCCCACACCACCCCACCCTGTCCCCCCGGCCGGTGCGTGCGCAGGCGCAGAGCTCTCGCGGCGGACGCGGGGTCCAATGGGGTGAAGCGGGGAGCTCGGCGGAAGGGGAAGAGGCAAGGATGGAACACAGCGGGGAGGGGAAAGAGCCGGGGAGGGCGGGTGTGCTGCGCCCGGCCTGGGAATCCGATTGGATTTCGATTCCCGCGGAAATCTTCCCGGGGCCTCCTGCGCCCCCTGCCCCGCCTATGGCGATAACTTCACGGAGACGGGCGTGGCTGGAGTTTTGCTTTATTGAAGTGAACTGTTAGGGTCAGGCTGTGGAGGAGACTGAGAGCGCGACAAGGCGCTGGACAGATGCCCGCGCAGGGAAGGAAGGCTGGCTCGGAGGCGGCGTCAGCTATGGTTTAGCAGCTTCCAGCGGCCGAAACCTGCATCGCAGCCGCGGCACCCAAGTCCAGGAAATCTGGTGCTCAATATTGTGGTCTCAGAGAACAGGACCCGCGGCTGGAGTAAAAGCCTAACAGTCTGAGTGCAGGAGTGAGGCAGAAGCGATTGGAGACGCTTTGCAAGTGGCCCTGGGCTGCATAATGGATGATTCAGGAGGGAATCTCCTCGTCAGAAAGCTCACGTTTCACTCTTTCTGGCCTTCATGCCCACCGTTGTCAAAACTGGAAGTCCGTCCACCTTGGGCCACTGACTCCACTGTGTTCAGACAGGTTGGGGACTGCTCTCTAGCTCCTGGGCAGGAGAGCCACAGTCACTGCCACCCACTTGGAGCAGGGATCACCAGAGCTTTGACTGACTTTGCTCCTCCAGGAGGCTGAGGACATGGGTGTTCATGCTCAGCCCCTCTGTAGACACGGTTGGCCCCCCATTCTGTGTATGGGAAGTTTTCCACTCCACACCAGCAGCTGTCCCTAGACAGGGATTGGGAGACATGCAGGTGGCTTGGCTTCCTGTTACCTTGTGTTGAAAACAAGGCGGCCGGGCGCGGTGGCTCATGCCTGTAATTCCAGCACTTTGGGAGGGCAAGGCAGGTGGATACAAGGTCAGGTGTTCGAGACCAGCCTGACCAACATGGTGAAACCCCATCTCTACTAAAAAAACAAAAATTAGCGGAGCGTGGTTGCGTGCACCTGTAATCACAACTACTCGGCTACTCCGGAGGCTGAGGCAAGAGAATCGCTTGAACCCCGGGAAGCAGAGGTTGCAGTGAGCCGAGATGGCACCACTGCACTCCAGCCTGGGCAACAGACTGAGACTCCGTCTGAAGAAAAAAAAAAAGGAAAGAAAACAACACAATGGGCTTTGGGATCAGGAGTTCATTCCAGTTATTTTAATGCTGTTTCTAGCAGTGTGCCCTCATGCACATTATCAAATTCCTCTGACTCTTCGAATCCTCACTTTTCAATAACTCACAAAGCTGGCAAGCCTAAGGGATCTAACAGCTCTAACAGTACCTGGAACAGAATCAATAGCTGCCTCTTGGATGTTACTTCTTCCTTCTCTGCCTTCTGTGGATCACCTCCCTACCTCATCCTCAGTCTAATGCTGGAAATATTGGATATGGGGTAGGTCACCAAATGTTTCCAGAAGACTCAAATTATGCCACCCACATCTCAACTGGGGAGGGCTTACTGTGGCCTGACTCTTCTGAGGGTTCAAGTCCCCATATATGATGTTCAGGCAGAAACACTGTTTCTGACACATAGTAGGCACTGGAAAATGTTGATCAAATGAAAGAGTAGGTCCGGTGTGGAGAGAAGAGAAATCTTGGGAGAGTCGTTTAAGGGGGTGGCCAGTTGTCTTCATAAAAAACACTATCATCATCAGGGTGACCAAAGCAGACATCATAGGCAGGGGGTGGAGTCAGAGGCTCTAATCTAGGGGGTTCCCCCAAACTCTGCAGGTCAGGAGCGGTGGACACAGCCCGTGGTCCCCGAAGCCGGAGGCTGATTGGAGTTCTTCCAGGGCTTCCTTCCTGGGCCATAGACCCCTCTGAGGCCATTCGCCTCTCCAGTCCGACTCTCCTGGACCCCTCTGGATGGCTAGGCTGTCCCTCCTCAGGTGCTGGAGGTATCACAACAGTGCTGTAGGGGGGTGGTAGGTCCAGCTCTTGGGGGCGGCACTGGGATTCCAGCACCACCACTGCCTCTTCGTAGACTGGCACTTCAAAGGCTTCATTGTCCCTGAGGGAGGAGAAATAAGGTCATTGGTGGCTTCCATGAAAGAAGCCCTTTTTTTCTTTTTTTGTCTGCCTTGGGCAAAAGATCCTCTGTTGGCTCCTGACCCCTCCTCCTGCTGATACCAGTGACATAGGAAACCGGAGACTCTATGCCTCAGAGACTACAGGGAGAGGGAGGATGGGCCCAAGGTGTATTCCTCTATGATGCCCACCCCTTAACTCACCGTGCATTGCCTGACGGCCTTGGGCTCTCAGTCTGCATTGATTGGAGCTGGAACCGAAGCCCCCATTCCAGAAACCGGACCAGGAGGTAGGCAAACAAGAAGAAGCCACCCAATGTGAGAAAGAAATAAGCAATGGAGCTGATGTCCGGCTTTATGCCCAGCAAAGCCAGCCCCAGTAGGAAGGAGGTGCAGCACAGGAGGAGAAGTGGCTTCTCCAGTCTCCCCAGTAAGTGAGTTGGCACCATGGCCCCTCCCCAGGCTCCTGCAAAAAGACACACAGCTATTGTGTCTACACTAGCAATTGGTGTCATGGCTGTGTCAGATACCAGAGTAGCCATATGATATTTCTTTGTTTGGTTTCTAGGTTCTTCAGTCTCAAATCAAATAAGTAATCTGCAGAGTCCCCTCCAGCTCCGCAGGTCTCTCTAGGTCTTGGCGTTTGTGGAATAGCCAGGAAACCAGCACAGGAGCCTTGACTTCCAGCCATTCTGTAAGTTGACCGTGTCATGGCTCTGCCTTCTTTCCTTTCTCCTTCCCTGCAGTCTCCCTTCCAGCTCTGTCCCTCTCCACCATCCAGGATCCAGTCCTGGGCACACCCTGTCTGGGGCTTCAGTGCACATTGGCATCTCTGGAATTCAGGTGATGGGCCAGGCCCTGCCCTTCCTCTGTGATTGCTCCTACTGGATCTCCACTCCCCACCTCCCAGCCCTCAGTCCAGCCCTGTTAAGAGAGAGAAGAGGGGAGGGAGCTCCACTTACCCTGTCTGACTCCCTTTTTTCCTTTCCTCTGGTGTCAGCCCATGCTCCTGGTGGAGGGAGAAAGTGCACACAGGCACACCAAAGACACAGGGACACAACTGCTTGAGAAAAAATCGTATAGGCAAAGGCCCAGCACAGTGGCCAGAGGCCCTGATCACTCCTGTCCTCTTCTAGACCCCACATGTGCCAGGGCCTTCCTCTACCCTCTGCTGATCCTAACTCGCTAAACTCAGTTTGCAAGTTTCCTGCTAGGAGTTAGTCCAGCGGCTGGGAGGCAGAGGGCAGGGGAATCCTGTTCTTTCCTCTGAAACAGCAACAACCCGCGGCAACCCATACCCCAAAAGCAGGCTGTCAGAAGTTGCCAGAGCTCTGTATAGCAAGGAATTGCAGATTCCCTCCTCATACCTCGGTCCCAATCCCTGGTCCCAATCCCATGACCCTCCCGACCCTCACACCCACACCTGGCTCAGGAGTTCCTGGCCTACCTGTCTCCACAGACTGCAGAAAGTAGATGGCAGGATGAGTGGTGGGAGTGGGTAGGAGGAGCCCACTTGCCCCACCCTCTTTCTCTGCCCAATCCTTTGTTCTAGCCCAGTCAGTCTCCACCCGTTTTTTCCCTAAGGCTGACCTTCTGCAACCGGCTGCACCTTGATTTGTTCTGGTTTTTACTCTCTCCACCCACCCATACTTTGCCCTAAAGCGAGTGCACCTCTTACTCCCAGTGATCTTTGTACTTAGGACCAGAGTTAGCATTAACCTTTCCCTCTCAGTCCATGTTGTAGGTTAATTACAGCTCTAGGCAGTTTGCCTTCTATTTGGGTAATTTACCTTGTAGCTCTCTCCCAAGTGACTGGGAACAGACCATGGCTTATTTAATCTCTGTAGATCACCACACTGTGCATTGCACACAGGAAGCAGTGGTGTGGGCATGGAATAGTATATCCTGCTTCCATTGCCCAGCTGCTATTTTTGGGGACTCCCCGTTTTCTGCAGACCTGTCAGAAGTGTTTGTGTGTATACCTCTTGACTCAGTTAACTCCCGAGTCTTCAAAATCCACCTCCAAGGTGATGCCTGCTTTGGAACCTGCCTCCAGCATATCCGCAGCATTCCTTCCTAAATTTGTCCCAGCATTTACCTGGCTGTCTAGTATTTTTCTGCTTACCGATTTTCCTTCCACTGGGAGTTTCTCAAGGTGCATGATTAGTTTTAATCATCTCTGAATCCCAGAAAGTAACATGGTTCCTGACACATGGTAGGTGCTCATTAACTAGAAGGCTCCCCTCTCACCAGGCCTCACATCTGTGAAGATCCAAAAGCCATTCTTTTTAGTTGTGAGTCAGGCAGTTAAGTCCGAGTAGGGTAGGTGCTTGGAGGTGGAGAGTGGGTAGAAGCATATGTTGTCCTTGAGCCAGAGGAGGGACAAGACTGGGCTCCGTTCCTTCAGAGCGTGACCAATGGACAGACCGAGGGGAGCTGCAGATGATGGGGCACAAATCCAATCCAGGCTCCCCAGGGACAGCTGGGGTGGAGAAGCAGAGCAGAGGGTCTGTGTGTGTGTGTGTGTGTGTGTGTGTGTGAGAGAGAGAGAGAGAGAGAGGGCGCATGAAGATAACTGTGTCTGTAGTGGTGGTATATATGTGTTGTCACTGGTGGGATATTGAAGAATTTCTGTCCTAGAGCCCCAGATCAATAGTGGAGAGAGGAAGGAGACACAACAGGAAAGCTGTGGGTGTCTAAATGAGGCATATCTCTATGCAAAGTAGGCCCAGGAGTGAAAGGATTGTTGTTTTGTATCAGCCAGTCTCCTCACTGTTCTGCTCAGAAGGGGAAAGTACAGCTGGAATCAGGACTGCAGTTTACAGTTAACATATGAATAGAAGGAAATTGGCCAAGGGTCATTGGTGTTTGTGATAGGAAAGGGGGCTTTGTTAAGGAGTGAGTTGTGGGAATCGGAAGGTGTAGGGTAAGTGGCAAGGGGCCAAAGGGGAAGGGCCTAAAGTGTAAAGGGAGTCTGGGAGAGGCAGGACCTTTGTAGCTTAAGGCTGTTGGTTGCCTGAAGGAGGGTGCAATAGAAAAGAACTGGATCCCAGCTGGAGAGGCTAGACTGCTGGCTGGCTGTGCGCATTCACACATTCTCAACTCCAGTAATGTAAAATCAATTTTTTAAAATTGCACTTGTTAAAAAATAAAACATGGCAATATTTAAAAGCTAAAGAAAAAAAAATTACCTACCATCTTATTATCCTAACATGGCCATTTAAATGTTTATATATTTCTTCCAGGCTGTCCATATGCACACCAGAATATACACCACTTTGTATCTTTTAAAAGTTTTATACTTTATATAGTATATATTTCACCTTGATAAAGACTTTATTGTAGTAATTTCAAATAGCCATGTAATGTTTTGTTGAATCCATATGCCATAATTTGGTTAATATATCCTCATGATACATTGCTCAATAACACTGAACCTATTTCACTCAATATTTTTGGCCATTAAAAATAATGCCGGAAGGCCGGGCTCTGTGGCTCATGCCTATAATCCCAGCACTTTGGGAGGCCGAGGCCGGTGGATCACAAGGTCAAGAGATCGAGACCATCCTGGTCAACATGGTGAAACCCCGTCTCTACTAAAAATACAAAAATTAGCTGGGCATGGTGGCGCATGCCTGTAATCCCAGCTACTCAGGAGGCTGAGGCAGGAGAATTGCCTGAACCCAGGAGGCGGACATTGTGGTGAGCCGAGATCTCGCCATTGCACCCCAGCCTGGGTAACAAGAGCGAAACTCCATCTAAAAAAAAAAAAAAAATAATAATAATAATAATGCAGGGTGGGCGTGGTCATGCCTGTAATCCCAACACTTTGGGAGGCCGAGGTGGGCGGATTGCTTGAGCACAGGAGTTTGAGATGAGCCTGGGCAACATAGCAAAACCATGTCTCTCCAAAAATAATACAAAAATTAGCTGGGTGTAGTGCTGTGCACCTATAGTTCCAGCTACTCAGGAGGCTGAAGTGGGAGTATTGCTTGAGCCCTGGAAGTTGAGGCTGCAGCAGTGAGTTTTGATCATGCCAAAAAAAACCCAAAATTAGCTGGGGTAGTAGTGCACGCCTGTATTTCTAGCTACTCAGGAGGCTGAGGTGAGAGGATTGCTTGAACCATGGGTGTTGTGGCTTCAGTGAGCCATGATCGTACACTGCATTCCAGCCTGGGCAGCAGAGTGAGACCCTGTCTCAAAAATTAATTTAATAATAACAATGCAAAAGACAGAAAGTAGATTAGAAGTTGCTAGGGATGGGGAGGCGGAGGGAGAAATAGTAACTGCAAATGAGTTTCATATTGGGGTGGTGAAAGTGTTCTAAAATTACATAATGGTGATATTTGCACAATTCTGTGAATAGTTCTTTAAAAACCCCACTGCATTGTGTACTTTAAAAGAATGAATTGGCCGGGCGCGGTGGCTCACACCTGTAATCCCAGCACTTTGGGAGGCCTAGGCCGGTGGATCATGAGATTAAAAGATAGATAGTATCCTGGTCAACATGGTGAAACCCCATCTCTACCAAGAATGCAAAAATTAGCTGGGCATTGTGGAACCTGCCTGTAGTCCCAGCTACTCCGGAGGCCGAGGCAGGAGAATTGCTTGAACCCAGGAGGCAGAGGCTGCAGTGAGCTGAGCCAAGATTGTGCCGCTGTACACCAGCCTGTTAACAGAGCGAGACTCCTTCTCAAAAGAACAAAAGAAGGATGAATTACACCTTTGTCGATCAAGGAAAATGACTGAGGCAGGTCTCAGTCATTTTAGGAGATTTATTTGCCAAAGTTAAGGAAGTGCACCCAGGAGACAAGTCTATGCCTTTCTTTTAAGATGATTTTGGTGACTTCAATATTTAAAGGGGTAATGGCAGGACATTGAGAAATACACAATTTCCATGGGGTGAGGGTAGGGGAAAATAGTCATACATTGCCTTTGTCTGGACTCAGTTAATCTGCATTTTTACATAAGATAATGTAGACAGTAGGACAGAGGAAACAATCAGATATGTATTTGTCTCAGTGGGCAGAGGGATGACTTTCAGTTCTGTCCTGTGTCCCCCCACCTGTGAAGATAAGCTATTTACATTGCCATGGTGAACTTTAGCTGAACTACTTTAGGGTAAAGATCTTGGGGACCACATTTCCTTGTGGGCAAAATGTGAGGGAGTTGTGTAGCTTTTCATCTTTGCAGCCATCTTACTTAGAAAGCAAAACAGGGCTGGGCGTGGTATCTCATGCCTGTAATCCCAGCACTTTGGGAAGCTGAGGTGGGCGGATCATGAGGTCAGGAATTTGAGACCATCCTGGCCAACATGGTGAAACTCCGTCTTTCCTAAAAATATAAAAATTAGCTGGTGTGGTGGTGTGTGCCTATAATCCAACCTACTTGGGAGGCTGAGGCAGGAGAATTGCTTGAACCCAGGAGACAGAGGTTGCAGTGAGCTGAGATTGTGCCACTGCACTCCAGCCTGGGCAACAGAGCAAGACTCCATTTCAAAAAATAATAATGATAAATTTAAAAAACCAAAGCAAAACAAAAAAACTAAATGGGAAGCAGGTTTGCACAACCGAGTTCCCAGCTTGACCTTTCCCTTTGGCTTAGTAAGTTTGGGGTCCCAAGATTTCTTTTCCTTTCACACCTTAATAAAACTGTTTAAGAAATAATGCAATGAATGTCTTATGTATGGTTTCCCTTTTGTTTTGCATTATTTTCTCAGGATAAATTTTAAGAAAATCATGGTCTCCAGGATTTTCTGATGTGGATAGAGAAATAAGACATGTATATGAAATAATTAAACAGTGATTAATAAGGAATAGGAAATGACAGCAATAGGAAAGTTTTTATTGTCCTGAATGCATATGGCCAAATTGCTTCCCAAAGGTTTTGCTTTCCTTTATTTCTTCATCAAGGTAACATCCTTAGCAAAACAGGAATGTGCCACTTAATTCAGTTGTCATTCCGTTTTCTACTTGCCTGCCTTTGGCAAATCTTACTGGAGATGGAATTACTTCTCCCTGCCCACTGTTCCCAGCTTGTTTGGGCAGATGACGGTGAAGGGAAGTGGGAGGGAATGAGGGAGAAGTCAAGCTTATTACTTCCCACTGTGTGCTTGTCACTGTGGCTTTGTATTTCTGTGATTTTTGTGTTTAAGAATCTGGGAGTCCTTTACAGTTGCAATCAACATGTACAGGATGTTTTGTGCATACTCCTCACTGTGTTAAATACTTTACACAAATTAAGTAATTTAAAATATGTATGCTATACTAAGAGGTAGTTACTGTGATTATGTCCGCTTCATAGATGAGGTTAGAAACTTGAGGAATGTGGGTAGCTAATCAAGTGTGGAGTCAGGATTTGAAACCATGATCTGAACCCATAATCCTGGCTCTTAAGCACTGTTCCATGCCTCTCTAAATACTCTCTTGGGC